ATTTGCAGCAGGCCTTGGCCACCGGAACAGCCTGGAAAGCATTTCATCCATTGATCGGGAACTGAGTCCCGAAGGCCCAGGCAAGGTCAGGATCAAAGTGGCTGGCAGCATGGGACTGGCTCTGAGCTGCTAGTTCTTGACCATGTCTGCTCTGCTTACAGGAGAGAGAGTTGACCAGTCAAACTCTACCCTGGGAGCCTGAGTCTACAGAGACTCTGGTAAGTTCCACACAGGCCCAGCTCTGAGCCTGCGTAGCCTCCCCTGTCAGAACATTGAACACAGCCCAGGAGTGGTGGGGCAGTCACATTCCTGGAACATAGATTCCCTCTTAGCACTGATCCACTCTGTTCTCCAGGGTCGGAGTCTGGAGCCCCTGAAGCTGGACTACCGAGTCCTGGCTGCTGTGCCCAGTGCTGGAAGTTTGCAAAGAGTGAGTGGTGCATGGCTGGATTTTTTTTTTTTTTTTTTTTTTTTTAAACACAAGAAAAGTTTACTTTTTAATCCCTATTACAGACATCCGCCTGCCTCTGCCTCCCAAGTGCTGGGATTAAAGGTGTGCACCACCAACGCCCGGCTACATGCTGACTCCATCTGGCCTGTCTATCCTACCTATCTATCTGCCTGTCAGTCTCCCTTGTCTTAACTTCTTCCTTATGGCAGCCACTGCTGCCAGCTTGAGTGCCAAGGTCACCTTGCAGAGAACTTTTGTCTTCCATCAGGCAGGGCTTGTAGATGTCTGAGCTGGAGCTCTGCCTCTAGCTAGGCGACATTTGGGATTTTGTTGTTCTTGTCTGACAGTGCTGGGATACAGGACGGAGCCTCATGAATGCTATAACCAAACATCCTACCACTGACCTGCATGCCCAGCCCTTCTACAAAGCTTTGATCGTATTTGTGGCTGTTGCCATGATCCCCTCTCCTAGGTTCCCAGGGATGCCTTTGAAGTCCCTGAACTCTTCTTTCCCCATTGTCTACCCCCAGATAGGCGCATAGGGCAGAGCCCTGCTGTGGCAGGCAGGCTGCTGGGAAGAGGCAGCTGTCATTCCTCTCAACCATCTTGGTGGGGTTTCATGGAGGAGGCAGGCTGAAGCAGCTGCAGCCCTTGTGGGTGTGGAAGCTGTAGCACTAACAGCTGGTCTGGGAGTGGCCACTCGGGGGCCTAAGCTAGGGGTGTGGCCTTTGAGACAGTTGTGGGCCTGGGGGCAGGCAGAAAGGACATTCTGTCCTCGTTGGTCTTCAAGAGGTATTTAAAACCATCACTCCCAGAAGATAATGGGAGACCATTACCTGAATGTGAGTGCCTAACCTAAGGGGTGGGCTTGGCCAAGGTGTTGTTGAGCAGTGGGGAGACAGGAGGGGGTCAGGAAGGGCATTTGGGTTTTTGGGTACTATCTCTGCCAACTCCAAACAGCCCTAACAGAGAAGCCAGCATCATCTGAGAAAGGGACAGCTATAGGCTGGGATGCTTCTCTGACTCATGAGCAACCGGGAAAGAAGCCTGGGTCAGAGACCGGTGGTGGGTAGGCTTTTGTGTCCCAACTGTCTGGCTTCAGTCTGTTCATCTATTCCCAACCTTCTTTGTAGATCTTAGGGCTGCACCCTTGGCAGTAATGTAGTGCTGTGAGTAAGCACCTGACTGCCTCTCCAACTTGGGCCCTGGGGAGAGCAGAGGCTGAGGGCCAGGACCACCTGTGTGTGTCCAGCCTTGGGGAAGGAGAGCCTTTTGTGGAGGTCTCACCGTCATCCAAGCCTGTCTGATAACATCCCTGGGTTGTGGTCAGATTAGGGCACAGGGCTGTCCCTATGATGCCAGGATAAATGCACAGACCAATTCCTGGCTGGGATACTGCTAGGCCAGCTGACCTTCCTTCCCAACCACCACCCTCTTCCTCAAGGGACCATCTGTGACCACTGGAGGGAAGATGACTGAGACCCCCTGTTCCCCTGGCAGCCCGCAAGTAAGCATCCCAGTCACGGGTAACCCCCTGCGGGCACCTGTGCAGATGGGTACTGGTATGCAGGGTCCCCGCGTGTGTTTTTGTCCAGGGACACCTTCCTGATTAAAGCTGACCTTGATAAAGGCAGGGACCTTGCTGGAGGAGTCCAAGCCTTCCAAACACCAAGCATAAGATCTTTTCTGGACAGTTGTCCTTGTCTGTGGGTCCCTCCTCGTCCCCACCTTCCCTCCTGCATGGAGAGGGCCAGGTCTCCAGCATTCCTGACAATGCATTGCAGGGTGGGGGTGGGCACAGGGTCATTCCCAGCCTGGCTCCTAGCCTCAACTCTTCCAAGACTGGTGTTTGGATTAGTATCCCCTTGTAGCCTACCTTGTCTCCATCTTTCTCTCTCTCTCTCTCCTATCCCTCCCTACTCCCACTCTGGACCTCTGATCCCACTTTCCTCTGCCACCACCCCCTTCCCCTTTGCAGACAAAACCGGGGGTGATCCAGCCATTGGCTCAGGCCTGGCCAAGGGGCTCCCCGACCCCCAGGGGCAGAGATGGTCCCTGTTCTGTGAGTGTCGTGTTCCACAGTGGGTGAGGGTGATGAGCCGGATGGTGGGTGTGGGTCAGAGGCAGTTGGAGGACACTGCGGATGGCTGTGTGGGAAGTGACTGCCCTCGGACAGCTGCCCCAGCCTCACGTGCGGGTGTTTCCCCAGCCGCCCTCCCCTGATGAACTGCCAGCCAATGTGAAGCAGGCCTATAGGGCCTTTGCAGCGGTGCCCACTGTGCATCCCCCTGAGGACAGTGCTGCTCAGGTATGTGCGGTGGTGCCTGCTGCTGCTACTGCATGCTTTGTAGGGTGGGTGCCCATGTGAGTGCCCCAGAGAAGCACCAGCCAAGTCTGAGGGCCTGCTCCCTCTCTAGCCTACAACACCTGGTCCCGCAGCCTCCCCAGAGCAACTGTCCTTCCGGGAACGGCAAAAGTACTTTGAGCTGGAGGTCCGGGTGCCTCAGGCAGAGGGTCCCCCCAAGCGTGTGTCCCTGGTAGGTGCTGATGACTTACGGAAGATGCAGGAGGAGGAAGGTGAGGAGCCGAGACTTGAGAGGCCTGGGTGGGATGATGACCTGGCCTTGTCTGATATGTCTGCCTGCCCATAGCCCGCAAGCTGCAGCAGAAGAGGGCACAGATGCTTCGAGAAGAGGCAGTAACCTCAGGGCCTGACACGGGGCTCACCTCAGACAGGGAGTCCCCAGATGATCAACAGGAGGCTGAGCAGCCCTGGGCTGTGCCAGGCCATGCAGGAGGGTGAGTGCAGGAGGCTGAGCCCCACTACCTGGCTTGTCTGCTGCATGCCCTCTCTCACAGCGTATCCTGTCCATTTCTCCAGTTCCAGCCCATCTTCACCCCCACCCCTGGGAGGCAGTGCCCCTGTGAGGACAGCTAAAGCTGAGCGACGCCATCAGGAGCGGTTGCGCATGCAGAGCCCTGAGCTTCCTGCCCCAGAGCGAGCCCTGTCTCCTGCAGAACGGCGGGCTCTAGAGGCAGAGAAGCGGGCACTGTGGCGGGCAGCCAGGTAATCACCTCCCTACCCCCACTAGACCCTGTCCACTGCACATCAGGTCCACTCAGCAGCATTCACTCTCTGCCTCCTCAGAATGAAGTCTTTAGAGCAGGATGCCCTCCGTGCACAGATGGTCCTCAGCAAGTCCCAGGACGGCCGTGGCAAGCGAGGACCCCTGGAGCGGCTGACTGAGGCCCCTTCACCTGCACCCACTCCATCACCCACACCATTAGAAGGTATGTGTTTCCATGGGCCAGCAAAGGGCTCTGTCTGCTTGTGAGCACTTCTCCCAACACTTTCTTTTTGTTCCCAGACTTGAGCCTCCAGAGCAGTCCCTCCCCTGGACGCTTGGTAAGGATCCTACATCTGGGGCCTTTCCTCCCACACATCCCGTTGTCTGAAGCTGCAGGGCTCTAGCCTCCCCACCAGCCCCTCACCTCCCTGTGCTCTCTGCCTTTCCCCTCATGCTGTCCTTTCAAGTCCCTGTCTGGGAAGAAGTTTGACTACAGGGCCTTCGCAGCCCTGCCTTCTTCCAGACCTGTCTATGACATCCAGGTACTGGAGGCCATCTGGCCCATCTGCATGCTCCTACTACCCCTCCTCTGCCTGTCACCTGCCTGCCTCCATTCCTTTCTGTGTTTCCTGCTGTTTCCTGTGGGGCCTCTCGGCCCAGTCTGCTCTGACCCTGCCCCAGGCTCTGTGGGCCTAGCCCCTGACAGCCCAGCTTGCAAGTGTAAGTTCAGGCAGGTGTGGCCTGCCTGACCAGCCTGTCTCCCCCACAGTCACCAGATTTTGTGGAAGAGCTTAGGAGTTTGGAACCATCTCCCAGTCCTGGTGAGTTGACACCTGTCTGGGGTGAGGGCCCAGACACCCAGAGTTCTGGCGACCCTTGGCTCATGGCTTTTCTATCCCTCTCTATACCAGGCCCACAGGAGGAAGATGGTGAAGTGGCTCTGGTGCTTCTTGGCAGGCCCTCACCTGGCACTGTGGGCCCTGAAGACATGACGCTGTGCAGTAGCCGTCGGGCCATGCGGCCAGGACGCCGGGGTCTGGGCCCTGTGCCCTCCTAGGGCCAGGTTCCTCCCCAGACTTAGGGTGGGGAGCCTGCTGGCTTCGTCACCTCCCTTACCCCAAGTCTTTTAGCCTTGGTGTTAGCATTTTAAGAGACCCCTCAGGAGTTATGGCTTCTGACTAACTGCCCCCGTAGCCGGGATCTCGTGGCGAGACTGTAACTAGTGATGTTTGTACAACCAAAGACTCTATTTTGTGGTTTAAGGAGAATAAAGTTAACTACATTTTACCTTCTGTTGTCCATTTATCCTCCCACCTGCTTGTACTGACTCTTCCTACTCTGTAAGATGCCAGTGTTCAGTCAAGTCTGCCTTCCTCCCTTTGGGGTTTGAAAGCCACTGTTCTCCTGCTTGGGTCCAGACTGGCTGGGGATGTGGACTTGCTCATATGAATGCCTGGGGCACATGCTTTATTGGGGTATGTCTAGAATCCTCCACCAGACAGCTGCACACGTACTGGGAGCAGGATCTGCAGCTGGTCATCTGGTGGCCACTGAACTCGGGTGACAAAGAAGAGGCGGAAGTGCTCTAAGCGTGCCTCTTGGAACTGGGAGGGGTCATACTCAGGTCCGTCAGTGGGCCGAAGCAGTGACAAATAACCTTCCTGTGCCAGCAGCCCACGACTCAACAGCGCCTGTGCCAGGCCAGGCTGTACCGCCTCCAGCTGCTGCTGCACGGTTGGGAACAGGTTCACTTCACGCAGGTCGAACACCAGTGGCTTCCCGTACCTGTAGGGGCGTCTGGTGAAGAGGCAGGTAAGGCCCAGGATAGGGCTGACCTGGCCCCTGCCTGCCATACCTGAGTGCCCCTATCAGAGCCTGCCGAATTGTCTCCGGTCTCAAGTGCTCCGGGTTTACGGTGTCCACATAGTTGGTGTCCTGGTATCTCAGGAAAGTGGCTGCCTGGCCAGAAGGGTCGATGACAAGAGGCCACCTGAAGCAGCCACCTGGTCACTAGTCTGTGGGCGCCTCTGGCCACCCACACCCAGCCTGATACTGACCGTCCATCAGCTCGGATCCGGTCACCCACATCCTTCATCAGAACATCGTGAAGCTCTGTGACCCTGCACCTCAGCCCAGGTGCTGCCAGCTCTTCCTCTGTGGAGGTGTTAGTTTGCCGAGCGTGGGAAATGCTAAGTCCCACTGCAAATCCCCTCCCTGGCATCACCTCTCCAGGTCCCCAGCTGCCCCACCACAACCCTGCCCACCCTCCTGGGTCTGCTCCCGCAGCTCCAGCCTGGCCATGGCCAGTGTCTCTTCAGCCTTTTGTGCCTCCAGCCGCAATAGTTCCACTTGGGCTTCTGCGTCCTTGATGGCCTAAAGAAGGGGCCATGGTGACCATTGATCTCCCCATCCCCTCAGAGTTACCACCTACTTTGTGGGAGGGTGGGGGTAGGATTGGCTGCCCAGACACAAGAGGTCAGTGCCTGCCAGGACCTCCTGGCTCCACCCATGCCCCCAAGGCCACTGTTACTAAGTGACACCTTAGGTTTAAAAGGCAAAGATGCCTGAAATCCCTTCCCTTGGAAGGAGAACCCCCAGACTGGTGTGGGGCCTGGGGAGCCACCTGCAGTGTGAGCTCAGTCTTGCCCATGCGCTTCCTCTCACACTTATCATGCTCTGTGATCCTCCGATTGAGCTCGCAATAGGCCTGTTGTAGCTGCGGGCAGACGAGGTTTGCAGACCCCAGCAACTTACCCCTACCCAACCCTCCTGCAGGTCTCCTTCCTAGAGGGAGGCCTAGGTCACAGCTCACCTCCTTGTGACACCTCTGTTGTTCCTTAGCCAGCTGCTCCACCTTGAGGTTGATGCTGCAGTGGGAAGAAGCCTGCTGCTCAAAGTCATCCATGTCATTTCCATCCCCCGCCCCCAGCCCTCCCAGCCCCCTTGGCACACCGCTTAGCCTCTATCTCCTTGTGCTTCTGGGCCTCCTGGGCCCTGCGCTGCTGCTCAGCCTCCATGTTCTGGAGCATAGCCTCTGTGAGGCTCAGGTCCCATGACTGGAGCACACTGGCCACTGCAGCCAGTGAGGCCACCTAATGACAGGGAATTTGGTGTTTAGAGCCATGTGTGTTCTGCCAACCTAGGAAGGAGGCTTCCACTTCAGACAATTGAGAAAGGCTAGGGGGCCATGGCTGGGGACTGATAGATCACAAGCCACTGGTCCCATGGGCTCCCTATCCAGATCCAAGCAGACCCAGCTCCAGTGGCAGAGCCTCCAGGGTCACTTTTGCTCCTCTCCATCTGCCCACTCATGCAAAGCCACCATGGCCTCTCTGCTCCCCACACGACAGGCACAGACACAGCTGTCTGGAGCTGTTCTCATCTGCTGTCTACCTGCCCCTAAGAGCCACAAAGACCTGGGTATGATGGTGTACACCTGTAACCCTAACACTCTCCTCGCCTGGCTGTGCAAAGTCAAGGTGAAGAGAGATGGAGGACTGGGAGACACTGTAAGAGTGGGGACATGGCTGACCCATTTGAAGGACACCCATTTGATGGTCAACCCCTGTCTGTTGGCCCCATCTCATTTGCTTCATATTAGCTCATTGCCCAACAGAGACAACCACATAATCTTTCAGATTCAGCTGCTTTACATGCAGGCCAGATTTAGTTTTAGAAATTCAGAGACTGCCTGCTTTTCATATCCTACTAACCAACACCCAATTGCTACAAGCCTCAGCTAAGACAGCACCAGTGGCTGCCTGGGCCTTTCGCTGCCATCACTGCCCTCCACAGCTCTGAGCTCCCTTGGTGCTGAGTGACATCAGATGACACTGGTCCACTGGACACTGACACTTTTTGTCCAGTATCCTCCTTGATCAGTTCCATCCTTGGACATCATAGCATCCAGGCCTTCACCTCTAAAATCCTCCTCCATGACACTTCCTTGGAGGGATCCACCCTGGGCACCTCTCTGAAAACCACCACTTCCCGCCTGTCCACCCTGGTGACACAGCCCCTTACCTTGCTCCACTTCCCACATTTCCTCACAGTATCTATACCATATAGAGTGACTATCCATTGGGCACCTATCCTAGAATGTTGTCTAGCACACACATTTTGTCAGTCCAGTGGCTGGGTGAAGCAATGAATGCTCTGTTGATGTGCTTCTGAATGCACTGACGTAAATGGATGGACAGGAGATAGGAAAGGTGGCCATGTGGAGAGATAAATTAATGTATAGAGAAGTGCATAGATGGACAGACAGCTGAGTGGCTAACTGAAGGAATTTATGGATGAATATATGACTTCTTGAGATCGTGTCATTTATCCCTTCCCTTTCTTTCCTCCAAGCCCTCCCATTTGCCCCTCCTTACTTTCTTCATGACCTCTTTTTTACACTGGCTGTTGTTACATGCATGTACACATATTCCTAAGTCCAATCCGCTCAGTCTGTATGTCACTCATAAGTATGTTCCAGGGCTGACCATTTGGTGTTGGATAGCCAGTTGGTTTACTCTTCCCTGGGGAAGACTATTTCTCCCATTCTCAGCCTTCCTTAGCTGCCTGTAGCTCTCTGTGTAGGACTGAGGCCTCCTGGGCTTTTCCTTGTCCCCACTGGCATGTCTATTGTTGTCCTTGATCCGCTCATGTTTGGGTAGTCGTGGTGTTGTGTGGGTGTATCTTCTGATATTCCTAGGAGACACAATCTCAGAGCAAACTCCCTGATCCTGTGACTTTCACAATCTTTCTGTCCCCTATCCTAAAATGCTGTTCCCTGTTCCTTAGGTGGCTTTGTAATTTAATTTAATTTTATGTGTATGGGTGTTTTGCCTACATGCATATCTGGGCATCATTTGTGTGCCTAGTATGCGCAGAGGGATTCAAATTTCCTGGAACTGAAGACTAACAACTGATGGTTGCAGAGAATTGAACCTGAGTCTTCTAGAAGAGCAGCCAGTGATCTTCACTTCTGGGCCATCTCTCCAGCCTCAATATATGACCTCTTTTGAGATAGAGTCTTATATAGCCATGGATAATCATGAATTTCTCATCTCCTGCCTCCATCTCCTGAGTGCTAGGATTACAGGCATGTGCGATGCTTGGTATATCTGGTACTGGGGATGAAACCCAGGGCATCATGCACGCTAGGCAAGAACTTTGTCAACTAAGGTCCATCATCCAACCCTGAAATATGTAATTTTAAATGCTTGCTTTTGTTTTGTTTTGCTTTGGGACAAGATCTTGCCATGCAGCCCTGGCTGTATTGTGTATAGACCAGGTTGGCCTTGAACCCACAGAGATCCACCTGCTTCTACCTCCCAGTGCTGGGATTAAAGGCATGTGCCACCACACCCAGCTTAAATGCTTGCTTTGGATGGAAGTTCTAAGGACCCAGAATTGGGTTGTCATGGGGACTTCAGCTGAATTTCAAAGCCCTGAAGCTGACAGGGTGGCCTCAGGCTGCTGGGATCCTGGCATATGGCAAAGCAGTGCTGAACCCTCAGTGAAATATGGTACACTTTGTTTATATATATTTGGTTTTTCAAGACACGGTTTCCCTGTGTAGCTTTGGAGCCTGTCCAGGAAATAGCTCTTGTAGATCAGGCTGGTCTTGAACTCACAGAGATTTGCCTGCCTCTGCTTCCCAAGTGCTGGGATCAAAGGCGTGGGCCACCAACACCCGGCTAAATATGATATGATTTAAAAACAAACAAAATATGGGCTGGAGAGATGGCTCAGAGGTTAAGAGCACTGGCTGCTCTTCCAGAGGTCCTGAGTTCAATTCCTAGCAACCACATGGTGGCTCACAACCATCTATAGTGAGATCTGATATCCTCTCCTGGTGTGCAGACAGAACACTGTATACATAGTAAGTAAATAAATAAATTGTGGTGATATTCACAAAAAAATTGAAGTTTCTAGAAGTTAAAATAATCAAAATTAACAACAAAGTTTAAATACTTAACTACTGGGGCATACAGCTGAAGAAAAAACTAGTAAAATAGAAGGCATGTCAGGAGAATATATCCGTGACAAACCAAAAAAAGTTCAAAGAGAAGAGGGCGAAACTGGTAGTTATTAGTGCTAGCCACTGCACATGTTCCTTCTACTTTCTAGACAGGTCAGAGGATACTCCTTCTGACAACTCAAGGTCAGCAGGGGCCAAATGGCCAGATCTGTTCAACGAGCAGCAGGTGGTGTGAACTAAATGTTTTGGATGTCTCTCCTCTGGGACAAAGAAAGGTGATATTCAAGATGGTGGCTACTCTGTCCATCAGGTGCCCCAAAAGATGACAATAAACAGAAGCTCCTGTGACCCCTGCAGTGGACCCTGAACACAAACTCATTCTGCTTCAAGCTATTGAGCAACACCAACTGTGGACCAAGTATTAAATTCATGAACCTATGGGGACAATCAATTCTCATTCTAACCACACCAGTTGTAATAGTTATGACTTTAACTTGTATTTCGTTGTTAATATTGGTGAGAAAACTGTCTTATGCTTATTGGCCATTTTGGCTCTTTTTGTTTTTTATCTAGGGCCTTGCTCTGAAACTCTGGCTGGCTTGATACTTGCTATGTACCCCAGGCTGATCTCAAATTCATGGCAATTCTCCTGCCTCAGCCTCCTGAGTGCTGGGATTACAGGCATGTGCCACTATGCCTGATCTAGATATTTTTTAAGTATATTTGCATTGCATTTGTTTATTTTAGTGTGTGTGTGTGTGTGTGTGTGTGTGTGTGTGTGTGTGTGTGTGGCCAGAGGACAACTTGTGAGAGTTCGTTCTCTCCTTCCACCATGTGAATGTCAGGGATCGAACTCACAGTGTCAGGCTTGGTGATGGTCAGCACGCAGCCAACTCATCAGCCCAGAAGACATCTTTTTAAAGAAATCTTTTCAAGTGAGTTTCTACTTCTCTCTGGGGTTGTTTGATTTATTTCCCTCCTGGAGGTGTAGATATTTGTAGCTATCTCTCATGTAAGAGTTATATACATATAACTCTTGCCTTTAACTCTCGATGTTACCAGTAGCTGAAGTTGGACTTCCTCATGGGATGTCTGCAAGCTTTTTTCCCCTTTTAGATAGTGCTCCAGGGATCTCTTTAAACCTTTTCACAGCCAGACTCAAAGACCTTTCCCTCACATTGTTTGTTTATTTATTGGTTTTATTTTGAGACAAGGTTTCTCTGGGTAGCCCTGGCTGTCCCGGAGCTCACCATATAGATCAGGCTTGTCTCACACTCACAGAGATCCCTCTGCCTCTGCCTCTTGAGTTCTGGGATCAAAGGTGTGCGCTACCATGGCAAGCCCTAGAATTTCCCCTTAGATTCACAGTCCACTGAATTTGGTTTTATGTGTCATTTCTGTGACAGTCATTCATCAAGTTGTATAACTATTGTTAAGCATTTTTTTCTTCCATGATTTGAGAGCTTCTGAGGCCAGGCAATGTATGCCAGGGTCGAAGTCCCTGCAAGGGAGCTTTGAGAGGTCAATGAATGAAGCCGTGATGGTGAGGCCTGGGTTGCAGTGGAGACCTGAAGATGGAGGAGATGCCAAAGCCATGAGACATCTGCCAAGAACTGCATATACGGAGTGGAACCAGTGAGAGAGAGAAAGGGGAAAGGAGGGAGGGAGGGAGGGAGGGAGGGAGGGAAGGAGGGAAGGAGGGACAGAGACACACAGAGAGAGGCAGAGAGACAGAGAGACAGAGAGAGATGTATGTTGCAGTCGGCAAAGGTGGTGGAGTCATCCAAGCCTCTGACATTAAAGTTCCAGAAAGAAGACACGGAACTGCAGGATTTGTGTTTGCCCTGCTGGCTTTCAGTTTTGCTTTACTCCAGCATCTCCTCACTGTGCTCTCTTTCCTCCATTGTGGGATGGCAATGCATAGTCCTTGCCATTGTATAATGGAAGCATGTCATTTTTTTTTTTTATTTTTACAGTGGGTCATGTTAGGAATTTGCCTTGAGTCTCACAAGAGATTTTGAACCATTTTTGTCTTTAAGCAAGAGGCTTATTTAAACAACAAGATGCTTGGGTTGAAGTGAAAACTATCTAGGAACATGTTGTTCAAGAATAATTTACACCTACTCAAAGATCTACCCTACATGTAACAGCTACATACGGAAAGGTTACAAAATTGTCCTTGGTTTTATGATGATAAATGAAGAACATTAAAATTCTCCAACTGAAGAAGGTATGTAAGTTTTATGTTGTTGTTATTTTGTTAAAACAATTAGAGCAAAATAACTTACTGGACTGTAAAGATAAGAGCTGAATGAGCACTCCACTAACGGAGAAGGGGATATTTTCACAGAACCACTATCTTCCAGCCCATCTCCATCTGAGGTCAACCAAAACAAAACACTGGCTGTTTAGTTTAAGAAAAAAGGTGCAGTGTGTTTGTGCATATACACCAAGTACTTTATGTTCAAGAAAGGAATAGGGACAGGGAAATGAAAAGTAGAGAAAACTACAGTGTAGTTGTCAGGGTGTGCGGGAACCAAATTGCAGCTTTCTAACTAAGAATGCTTTTTGGTTTATAACAACAGTGTGGAATAAAGTAGCAGTGGCTGGAGCACGTCCATTGGACCTTCATCCTACATTTTGCTGATTGTTTGCCCATCCAACTGGAATCTGATCTGCCTTATTGGTGAACTAGTTCACAGTGGGCTTTCAATAGTTCAGAGAGCGGTATCTGCCTCTTCATCTAAAACCTCACCATACAACCATCCTGCCCACCACCTTCAAGTTAACATACTTGTAGTTCTCAGTCTTGACTCCTTCCTGAGCGTGGGAGTCTCCCAAGACGCCCCTTCACAAAACATGCACCGTGCCCTCACTGCCGGAGACTTTGGATGATGTTGGGATTGTGAAAGACTACGGGGACTTTCGATGTTGGAATAAATGTATTTTGCATCGTGAGATGTCCATGAGCCTCTGGGGCCAGGGACAAAATGTAGTGCTTGCAGGAGAGCTGTCCTCTATAGGTTCATGCATTTGAACACTTGCTCCTTAGTTGGTGGCACTGTGTGGGGAGGTTATCGTACCTCCAAGGAAGCTGAGCCTTGCTAGAAGAAGTACATCACTGGGGGTGGGCTTTGAGGGTTTATAATCTCTTCCCACTTCCTATTCTTTCTCCTTCCTATGTATGTGCATGAAAATGTGATCAGCCAGCTTCCTGCACCTCCTGCCATGACCTGTCTTCCCCATGGTGGACTCTACCCCCCTAGAACCATAAGCTAAATGAATTCTTTCTTCTCTAAGTTGCTTCTGATCATGGTATTTTATCACAGCAACAGAAAAGCAACTAATACAACAATGATATCTACCACAAGTCTTCAAAATTTTACAGTGATCACAGCATGGGAATGAATATTGAGCTGTGGGACTGCAGGGCACTGCTGGAGGAGTGAATGGGCTGCTGCAGCCATGAAAAGGTGTGGGTATGCACAGGAAACATGGCTAGGATGCACAGAGCACACTGCAGCCATATCTGCATCAAATAACTGAAAATTCATGTACTGAAGTTCTCTACACCAGTGAAAGGAGATAAACTACAGCTCTGTACAAAAGACTGGATCTCACAGACAGTTTATGACAAGAGCTGCCAGAAGAACAATGCCACATAAACTCATGTGCAGATGACACTAAACAGTAGGACTAAGCTACAGTGTCTAGACATTTGGGTCTAAAAAATGGATAGCGGGCAACTGAATGGATGAGTGAATGAATGGATGAATGAATGAATGAATGGTGATTTAAATATGAAGTAAATGGCTGGACAGGAGAAGTAAGAAAAGTATCCCTGTAAAACCCACCATGTAGTTCCCTGGGCAGAGAGGGTAGTGCTCTGGCAAAATGGCATTCCCTTATATTGCTTCTGCTGGGCATTTCTTGTGGTGAACCACAGAGCCACACACACAAGTTTGATTCATTCAATGCCCAGTTTATGCTACATATCTTATAAAATAAGGTCCAAGATGTATATAAATTCAAAGAGTTGGTAGACGAGTGGATGCATGGTAATCAGAGCGATGAATGATCAGGTAAATGTTTGTACATGTGGACAGTCATCTGGGTGAGCCAGAAAGTTCAGATCTTAAATAAATCATGGGTATTTATTGAAAGAATATTTGTTGAGAACTATGTGTCAAGATTTTGTCAAGGAACTTGACAGCTATCTCTAGCCCTGCAGAGCTGGGCTGCTACCTTCTGGCATGTGGAAACAGCTCACAAACTTGTGAGGGTTGGCCTGTGGGCGGAAGAGCTGTAATCACCGGAAACCAAAAGAGCACAAGAGGGTGATGTGGCGAGTTGACGGCTGTCACATGAGCAGATCAGTGGTTTAATAAGTTAATGAAGTGGCAGGACACAGACTGAGCTAATCGAAAGGAAGACACAGAACACGGCATGTGGCAAGTTACTGCAGCTAACTGATGCCTGCAGCAAGCATAAGAACGAGTTGGTTAATTCAGTCAGTGCAAGCTTCTGTACTCACCACCTCAGCGGGCCACTGTCCTCCCCTCCTCACCTGTAAAAATCATCAATCTGTCTTCTGTCTTTGTCATTTTGCCATCCTCTGTGGCTGAAAGGTGGTCCAAGCTATGGGTGTGCCAACTTTCACCATGAAAGGGTATCTGTATCTGGAGTGTGTCCAGTCTGGGGCTGTTACCATGCAAGCTTCCATGGACATTACTATGTGAACACAGCTTCACTTCACTGAGCTAAGAACCCAAGAACATAACTGCTGAGGTACATAGTGCGTTTATGTCTTCAAAGTCTGCAGAGGGAGGAGCCCGTGTCTATGTTTGTAAAGACTCCGGTTTGTCTACAGCCTTCTGGCACTGGGTTACCCCTCTGGTCACTTCAGCTGTCACAGTGTGTGCTGACACAGGACACCCTTGTTCTGTGTTGCTCTGCAGTCATCATGTCCTCTTCAGGGACAACACATTCATTTGCTGTTGGGATAGAATTTGCTTATATGCCCCAGGGCATCGTCCTTGGTCAGGTGTAGAATCTGTGACCAGTCTCTCTCCATAGCTTCTTGTCAGGGTCCTGTGAAGGGACACTTTCCTTTCCTTCTTTCCTCCTTTTTTCTTGGGGGGGGGGAATATGAATGCAGCTCATTTTCCGAATTTGGGGAAATCGCAGGGGTCAGCACATCCGAAGCGCCGTGGATAAACTTCACTCTTGAAAAACACCTTTGTGATCACCATGTCTCCCCTGACAGGTTAGTATGCTTTTCATCTTGATGAAGCCCAGCATTTCTTTCTTTTGTCTTCTTGGTGTGGTATCTAAGAATGCTCCAACGTGCCCTAAGGCCCAAAGATCTTTCCCTATGCTGAAAGGTTTAGTGGTTCATTGTTCATGCTGAAATCTTATATCTGTTGAGTTGACTTTGTGTCAGGATGAGACTCAGGTCAGAACTCATCTTTTGGCCTGTGGGTGCCAGCGGCTCTGGTACCTTGGGTTGAGATGAGTGTCCTTCTAACAGCTAAGATTTAGGACACCTCCCTGTCATCACAGCTCCCTAGTTGCCAGCCCTGTGGCTGCCCAACAGTCCTCTGTCCCTCTATGCCCCCCAGGCACTGACTCTTGGGCACTCTCCCAGGATCCTGCTGTACTGTAACTTTACCTGTTATCCTAGGAGGTTAGGTTAAGCTCTGAGAAGTGTCCGGAGGAAGCAAAGCTGGGAGTGGGCCTGAGGCTGGTATCCCTTTAAGGGGTGCAGAAGCAAATGTTTGCCAAAAGGCCTGATGCCCATCCCACCATTTTGGCAGCACTTTCAATTTTAGGTATGAGATATGGGGTAACTAGCTTAAATTCAGGTGACGTAAAGGAAATAAAGGTAAGATCTGGTGTGGTACCCAACACCTGTGACCAAAGAACTGAGGCAGAAGGATCAGGATTGTTCCTGGCCAACATGGGCTATGAAGTAGGGGTGTGTGTGTGTGTGTGTGTGTGTGTGTGTGTGTGTGTGTGTGTGTGTGTGTGTGTTCTCTGTCCACACGTGTGTGTGTGTGACACGTGTGTGTGTGTGTGTGTGTGTGTGTGTGTGTGTGGTGTGTAAACAAATAGAAGGTAGAGGCACTTCCTGGCCTAATTTCTCAGAGCTGCCCCCACATTGAGGGAGCCTCACCAGTGACTTCCTGGACCCCCATGTTCCCAGCGGTCAGCATGGGGACCACAGCACTGTTCCACTGACTGAGCAGAAAGAAACAGGAACAGACTGAGAGCAAACCAGTCAGTGGATCTCAAGTTGCCTAGCACCTGTGATACCTGGCCAACCTGTGAGGCCACAGGACTGTTTGCTAGTCTATCACAGCAGCTGCATCCTGGGATAGCCAGAGCACTGGAGGAGCTAGAAGGAGCCAAAGGACAAAAGGTAGCCCCTGGCAGACAACAACCATTGTTCAGAAATGGTTGGTGAGATGGAACCAGATGCAGAACCTAGGGATCCCTGAATCCTGTCGACATTTATTTGTTTTCCTTAGGAGACAGTGTCTCTCTGGCAGGCTTCTGGCCTGGAACTCCTGTCAATCCACTTGCCCAGTCCTGCCTGGGGTTACAGATGCGCACCATCACACGGGAAACCTTTGGAGTAGGGATGTGCATGCCAGGGCCACACCTGTTCCGGAGTGCTCCCGTCATCCGCGTACACCCTGGGGTCTGCTCCGAGCTTCAGAAGCACCTCCACGGCTTCCAGGTGACCCCCAAAGGCTGCCCGGTAGAGCGGTGTGCGGCCGA